GGTCGTGGTGGTGGTGGTGGACTCATGTACAGTCGTGGTGGTGGGCGTATTGCAAGTCGAGATTCAGGGGGAGCCTGTGGTAGAGGACGTAACAATGGTTTGAGAAGGTGTACACATTGTGGCATGGAAGGACATACTATCAGTTTTTGTTATGATCTACATGGCCCACCGTCAACCTGGGCAAATCATGCAATGGCTAGTGGTGGTGGTATGAGACAAGAAATTCAGCAAGCCAATCAGACACCTCTTACATCTAAAGATGCCTCCGGGCAAAAGATGATGAGTGTTCCACATAATGAGTATGAGAGGTTGCTCCAAGCTACTTCTCAGCAAAATACAGCTATGCTTGCCCACTCAAGTATGGCTTGTCTAGCATCCAAACCCTCCCATTGGGTCATTGATTCTGGAGCTTCCAATCATATGACTGGGACTAGGTGTATTTTCGTCTCTTTCTTCATCCTCTGCAACCCACACTGTTACTCTTGCTAATGGTTCCACTTCTTCCATATGTATTATTGGTAATGTTAACACTGGTTCACTATCTTTGTCATCAATTTTGTATGTTCCCAAATTCCCTTTTAATCTTATGTTTATTAGTAAATTGACCAAGTCTCTTAATTGCTCTATCACATTTTACCCCTCATTTTGTGCTTTTTATGATCTCAAGACGGGGAAGAAGATTGGTAGAGGACATGAAGCTAGTGGACTGTATTATCTTGATGATGGTGGTGGTTCGTCAATAGCTCTTCAGTCGTCTCTTTCTCCTCTATAGCGGTACTACAGACTTAGCCATCCATCCCTTAAAGCTCTTAAGCTACTTGTTCCAGCATTGAGTCATCTTTCTACTTTGGATTGTGAATCGTGTCAAAATGGGAAACATCATCGTGTTCCCTTTAGTCCTAGAGTCGATAGTCGTATGTCGATTCCTTTTTCTTTGGTCCATTCGGACATTTGGGGTCCAAATAAAATAGTGTCACACAGTGGTTATAAGTACTTTGTTATTTTTGTCGATGATTATTCAAGGATGGCATGGCTTTATCTTATGAAAGAAATGAGTGAATTATTTTCTATCTTCCAAAAGTTTCAAGCTGAAATTCACACTCAATTTGGTGTACATATTAAGATCTTACGTTAAGATAATGGCCGAGAATCTTTTTATACACCTTTTCAACAATATTTAGAACATGGTATTATTCATCAAACCTCTTGCACTTACACCCCTCAGCAAAATGGGGTAGCTGAACGAAAGAACCGCCACCTCTTGGAAACTGCTCGATCCCTTTTGCACCATATGAATGTACCCAAATGTTTCTGGAGTGATGTTGTACTTACATCTTGCTTCCTTATTAACCGGATGACTATGTCCATCCTTGATGGTTAATCTCCCTTCTCTGTTTTGTTTCCGACATTGCCTCATTTTCCTCTCACTCCTAGGGTTTTTGGGTGTGTGTGCTTTGTTCATAATCTTGGGTCTGGATTGGACAAATTAGATGCACGATCTACTAAGTGTGTCTTTCTTGGCTATTCTAAGACTCAGAAAGGATATAAGTGTTATAATCTCAGTTCCCAGCATTGCTTTGTGTGTCCAGATGTTACTTTCTTTGAGTCTGTTCCGTTTTTTTTTTTTTCTGGACCGGATGTCTCTTATTCTCCTATTCTGCTTCCAATTCCTGTTGAGGACCCCATTCCACTTGTTCCAGCTACGGCTAAGTCCTTGCCTCCGGTGCAACTTCCTACCAAATGACCACCTATCCAGAAAGTTTATACGCATCGACATACACCGGCTCCTCCTCCAACTTCTTCACCGCCGATGGATCCAACAATTGTGTCCAAACCACTATCAAACCATGTATCTGACCTTGACCTTCCCATTGCCTTGCGGAAAGGTAAACATGGTTGTACCCTTCATCCTATCTCTAGTTATGTTTTTATATCTCACCTTTCTGCTTCCCATCAACAGTTTGTTTCGTTATTGTCCTCTGTTTCTGTTCCTAAGGATGTCCAGCAAGCCCTTACCAGTTACCACTCCAGGATGACATCAAGCAATGGAAGACAAACTTACAACTCTAGCTCATAATCATACAGAGGATCTCACCACTCTCCCTCCTAATAAGCATGTTGTAGGATGTAAGTGGGTATACACTATCAAGTACTTACCTGATGGTAGTGTTGAGCGGACGAAAGCTAGGTTGACTGCCAAAGGTTATTCACAGATATATGGCATTGACTACACAGAGACTTTCTCTCTTGTTGCCAAGATTGGTTTTGTTCATGTTTTGATCTTTCTAGCTGCTATGTATGATTGGCCCTTGTTTCAACTTGATATCTAGAATGCCTTTTTACATGGTGATCTTCTTGAGGAGGTGTATATGGAACAACCACTTGGGTTTATTGCTTAGAGGGAGGATGGTAAGGTGTGTAAGCTCAAGAAAGCTATTTATGGACTTAAACAGTCCCCCCATGCATGGTTTGGCATATTCAGTGAAGTGGTGAAGAAATTTGGCRTGAAACAATGGTAGGTCAACCATTCAGTATTCAGTTATGATTCTAGTGCTGGGAAGATTTTATTGGTGGTATATGTAGATAATATTTTATTACTGGCAGTGACAGGTTGGGGATTGATAGGTTGGAAACCTTTTTGCATGATCACTTCCAGACAAAGGACCATGGTAAACTAAGATACTTCTTAGGGATAGAGGTAGCAAGGTCCAAAAATGGTATTATTTTGTACCAGAGGAAATATGTCCTTGATCTACAAGAGGAGACAGGGTTGTTGGGTGCCAAACCAGCTGAGACACCCATGGAATTGAATATCAAGTTGAGTAGTGATGCAAGTGAGGAGTTTGAAGATCCCGAAAGCTATAAGAGGATGGTAGGTAAGTTGAACTACCTAACCATCAACCGGCCCAACATTTCATTTGCAGTTAGTGTAGTGATGCATGAAAGGAGCACCAAGTCGTGGCTTGTTATATAAAAGCGGAGGAAGTCTTGAGGTAGAGGGATACATTGATGTTGATCAAACCTGTTCATGGGCCAGGCTCGGGCTTGGCTTTTGCCAAATTTTGAATGGGCCCGAACCCGACATAGTGTAAAGTCAGGCCCGAAGCCTGGCCCATGAACAGGTTTAATGTTAATTGGGTCGGTTCCATATCTAACAGAAGGTCCACTACAAGGTGTTACACTTTTCTTGGGGGCAATTTGGTGACATGGAAGAGTAAGAAGCATAATGTGGTAGCAAGAAGTAGTGCAGCAACTGAATATAAAGCCATGCACACACATGTGAACTAGTGTGGTTGAAGAATCTCTTAGAGGAGATGGGGTACTCGATTGACACTCCTATGAAGCTATATTGTGAAAACCAAGCAGCAACTCATATCTCTTTTAATCCAATGTTTCATGAAAGAACAAAACATATAGAAGTTGATTGCCACTTTGTGAGAGAAAAGGTGCTTAGTGGAGTGATAAGTACAGAATATGTGAACATACGAAATCAATGGGCAGACTTGCTCACCAAAAGGCTGAGTCAGGGAAGAGTGGATTACACATGTAACAAGCTGGGATTATATGACATATACTCACCAGCTTGAGGGGGAGTGTTAGAGTCGGCTATAGAAGGGTAGTCTAGTCTCTTTACTTTATGTTATGTGTTGGATGTAATTACTATTATGTTCTAAGTTAAAGTGATGTGTCCCACACTTAAGTGGGGGCACAATAGTCATTGTGCTTCTTATTTAGAAAACTATAAATAAATCTGGCCGACTAGAGAGTAGTGAGTTCTCTAGTTCGAACAAGTCTTTCTTCTACGTCTTCTTCTCTTCTCTCTTCTCTTCTCTATTCTTCTTTTTCTCTCTTCTCTTCTTTTATTCTGAAACTGAAGCATACACAGATCTGAACTTTATCACAATCCTTACCCTTTACCAAATGGAACTTCTTTCCCCCAATTTACCAAATGGAACTTCTTTCCCCCACCTTCCCTGCATACCCCTTCCCATGAGAAATCCCTCTGAACTTTTTTCAATTCTTTCAGCCACTTGTGTTGGTATCTTTAGTAAGGACAGTAATAAGTTGGTAAGCTTGAAAGGACACTCTTGATTAAAGTTATTCTTCCCCCCAAAGATAGATATTTTTCTTTCCATCCATCCAGTCTCCTCCCCACCCTTTCCACTATTGGCCTCCATAATGCACCTAAATTTGAAGCTCCCCCAATCAGCATCCCTAAGTATCTAAACAAACATCAGCTTCTGAGGAAGGTTCGGAGTCGAGATCAGAGGTTGAGGACAAGAGGAAGGTAAGACAACAAGGAGGGCCTAATTGCAACTTCATCAATCAATGCGGGTGAGAAAGGAGGGAGTGGAGATTTAATGTTTGGTTGATAGGGATGTCAGGGTGGATTCTTTTTTTTGGGGTGGAGAGGAGTTCGTTAGAAAGGCTTTCGAAGCATTTGAAAAAAACAAGAGGGAAGAGAGCTTGAAGAATTCACATATGGGGAAGGAGGAGAAACGTGGAACAAGGAAGGAGATGGACAAGATGAAATGCTTGAAGAAGACTTCAAGTTTGCTCTTGTTTGGAAGTGGACGTCTTTGGTTTCCCTCTGTTTTAAGCTCTTGATGTATTTTGGCTTTTTCTGTTGATGGGTGGGTGTTATCTTAACACCATGTTGTTGCTTGTTCCAGATCTCCTCTTTTTCTTTTAATAAAATTTTTCTTTTTACCTTTAAAAAAAAATCATCATCTAAGCATTGTCCCAACTATATGGGATTGGATACATGAGTATACCAAATATTGTAAGAAATGAAAATTACCCTTTAAGTAATAAAAGATAAATTACCCTTACTTTTGTAAAACTTAATGCACCACAGTTCCCCCCATTTAAACAAGAGCTGAGAGAAACAAATGAATAAAGATGGCCAGTCAACCCAATACTCTCAATATTATCAAATAAAGAAAGCAAGTTTCTATATTTTCATAAAATTCAGAAACCAAAAACTTCAAAGGGCATACTTTAGATGCAGCTGTTGCTTGCCATTGCTGAATTTCACGTAGACGACTCATCTCCAAATCCAGAACTTGATATGTCTCTAGATACAAGTCTGCTTGACTTTGCTTCATGGAATCGGGAAGCTGCATAATTGTTTCAAACTTGAGTTACAGCATACCTTTGTATAAGTGGAAAAGAGGGGAAAAAACAAATTAAGGAGTGTACAATTAATTGTTATTTTAACATGAAATCCATATCTAGTTGGTTAAGCTTTCTATCATTTGAACTGAAAGTAACTTGAAATCCATATCATCATGTTTTTTTTTCAGTTTTTTAAACTAACAATCAAATTATTATATTAACATATATAAATATTCATGTATATATGTCAAAATAAAGTGAATACAAGAACACAAGAAAAGTCCAAGTCCGACCATTAAAGGAAAAAAACAAAAAAGTTAACAAGAGATTCAAACCAAAAAACATTTGTCACTGCTCAACAAAGAAAGCTAATAAGCTAATAATCCTTCATTCCTGCCTAAAGAAGTCCCTATAGAAAGTAAGTAAAGCAGTTTCAGCTACAAGATTAAATCTAAAAGTAACCTGAGGAAGTGCTTTGACACAACTGCGATATGTATACAGTACAGATGACATCTCCTTCCCCTCTTGAATAAGTGTATTCTGCATGTATTTCAGCRTCAACCATCAAAAATGCTAAAAAATCATCTAATGATTCACAAAAGAACAAAACAAATTAGGGCATTGGTAGAATACTCTACCAGCTGATTGATGGCTTTTGTGTCCTCCAACAGAGATAGGCGATAAGCAGAAACATCACTATACTCTACAAAAGGAAAGCTGCTGTCAAGAACTTGAAGGAACTACATGATGAAAGAAGAAGAAGAAAAGTAGTATCAGAGGGGAAAGTGGAAGAACCTCACCCTCCATTGTATGCAAATTTTACCAACTATAATAAGACTAGCTTTTTGAAGACCACAAGAAAATAGTAATAAAAGAACAGGCTAATACTTAATAGAGAAAGATAATATACAAATAAAATTCTCTGCAAAAACACAACCTCTACAAGTGAAATTTCGTATACAGTTAGCTACCCTTAAATTCTAAAACAGTCCGAAACAGGTTACCTGAAAGCTGGCCCGTCCCTCAATTCTTTCAAACTCAAAAGCCAATCAAGAAAAAACATGTCCATAATGACACATAATCATCTAGTTGAACACTTTCTTCCAATTAGATGAATCCTAAGGTCTGCCAACTTAATGGCAGTAAGTCTCACTAGGAGTGACATATTCATGATTGAGTTGTATTATGTATCATATCCCAAGATAGGTCCACTGACATGTGACTATATGAGAATACAAAAAGGTGATAAGAGATCAACCAAAAGAAAAAAAGAAACCCATCTCTCAAAAGCACATACCAAAAGAACCACCCCAAGAGACATCATAACCAACACAAAAGTTGTTCATATAGCAATGAAAATATGAGGTCTTCGTAGGGGAATAGAAAATATGGGAGAGGAGAGGAAGTTCAAGCTGGCGGGGAAATGGAGACTGGGGTTGATCATTGAAACCAAATCTTTCCTGTTCGAGCAGGGAAGGACAAAGGGGAAGGTTCACTTCAAAATCAGAGAAGGGAGCAGGGCGACGATTCTCCTACCGGAGGAGGCTTGTGTGTGGTTGAAAGGTTTTGTAGATGGAACTGTTAATTCTTTACGGGAAGAAGGTTGGAGAAACTCGTTGACCTGTGAGAGTAAGAGGTTCGAATCTGTGCTAAAGAGGAATGGAAACGGGTGGTTTATAATGGTTACCGAACTCTTTGGTAATAACA